CCCGCCTCCCCCTCTCTCTCTCTCTCTCTCTCTCTCTCTCTCTCTCTCTCTCTCTCTCTCTCTCTCTCTCTCTCTCTCTCTCTCTCTCTCTCTCTGCTTGTATGACAGAGAGAGCGAGAGGGAGGGAGGGAGGAGAGCGATGTACTGTTGGGCCAAGCAGGAAGAGTCAGCAACCACAATTTTACCTGCTTAGATTCATACAAGTATGCTTGTTGACAAGATAATTAGTAACTACTGAGCAACAAAGGGCTTGCACCGACGGAAATGTGAACAAGAGTGTGCATCAGACTTATCTTTTTGCTGGAAGTTTTCTGTGACAGTGGCAGACTGGCAGTAGCGCATCTCCCAATTCCGTCAAAAAAGAGATCAACGGTAAGGTAACTAGTCAGCTGGGAGTCCTTCGGGACATCTGTTAAATTGTGAACGATACAGAGAAAGAAGATTAGCATGGCCCCTGCACAAGGATGACATGAAAAGAGAAAAGAAACTTGTCAGCTGGGACAATGTGCAGGGACAGAGAAGGAGCGTTTGCAAGACAGGGACACAAAGGTAAATGGGCAGACACTTTCTCAACCATGCTCGATGCTATGCATGTGGATTCTGTGTGGGAGAAGGAGCGTTTGTAACCAATGCTTGACACTTTCACACAGAGGTAAATAGGACAACACTTTCCGTCGGTGTTCTGCTCTTCGGTTCCACTGTGCTTTTCGAGAGGATACGTATTTGACTATTTTGTTGTTATGTCAGCAACCAATGTTTTTTAACCTCGCTGGTTTCTGTTTTCTGCAAGTGCTCTACCGATTTCACCTTTTCTTTTTTCTTTATGTCACTGGCATGCATGAACAATGTTTTTGGCTCTAAAAGAATCTAAAGTTGAAACTTGAAACTGTTGTGACATTTTCGTTTTTTTTGCACATTCTATGTTGCGAATCGTGTTCTTAGGGCATACTAACGCTAGGCCCTCAAAATCTCAAAATTGCAAAATGAGCGGCCAGATCGAGTCCTTGTAAAGGAACGACTACATCTGGCCGCTCATTTTGCGATTTTTGAGCGGCTGGTGTTTTGTATACTTTTAGAGGACCAAAGTTTTTATTGGCATTATTGCACTTCATTTTGTGAAGATTACGTTGGATTTCACGAGTTTTTCTCTGTCATTATGGCCATGGCCACACATGGTCCCCGTAGATGTCTTTTGTCTGCAATGTGGTGATGCCTTTTTTATTCCTCGCATGTTTCTATTGTTCTTAGCGTCTCGCGACTTCTCCGCATTTCTGTCAAATAACTCTTATCTGTTTTCCTGTTTTCTGAACTGTTTTTTTTTTTTCCTAAGCACCAGTACACCACACATCGGCCTCCGGGTGTCAGCACGAAACCCGCACCACTTCAGAGGCCGCCGATTTTTTTTTTCAACGGCGCCACACGCCGCGCGGCCCCTCCGAGTTTTGCCTGTGGCAACAAAAACTTTCTGCAAGGGTGGGGCCGTGTACTTGCGGTTTAAGTCCCTCCCAATAGTTTTTCTGTTCTCTATTTCTTGGCTTTGACGCTTTGGCGCTCTTTACAGCCATCAAATATGTGGGAAATAAAGGGCCTCGCTGCACTACTCTTGAAATGCACAAAAGACAAAAATCATGGCCGTGTATCTTTCCATATTCTAGCGGAAGATTCACTCTCGTTTCGCACATTTCGAGAGTAGTGCAGCAAGGCCCAAAGTCTGGATCTTACAATCAAGAGTTACGAACTTAACAGTCGAACCCAACTTTTTCGTTTCGGCATGGAGATTGCCCATATGGCAAAAAAGCTAGTTTAGCCAGAGGCTTGCCTCCTTCAGTGGAAGTTGATGATGCATGGCATTTATTATGGTGGTTGAAAAATGGAAGAAGATGTCCTTCAGGGACATCCGTTAAAATTTGAATGATACAGAGAAGATTATCATGGCCCCAAAAAAGACGACCAAAAAAAAAAAAAAAAAGGCAGAAGCCCTCTAATTTCGAGTATACCCTTGTGATTGCTGCAGGAAACACCATTGTTCAACAGGATGTTTTACAGTGACACTCTAAACCACAAAAGTGAGCGCATGTTTATTCTTCAGCTGCTGGGCGCAGGCCTCCTTTCCTCTGCCGATGCCATCATTTTGCGGCACAATAAGGTGTTTGAAGTCCTCATGACTTTTCATGGCTCATCCATCGCAGATACTTTCACGCGTAAACTTATACTTCAGGTACGACTTCCTGAGCGTGCACCTATGTTTCGAAAATCTTCTCGATTCTCCCTGGAAGAGGAACAGTGACAGTTGTTTGAGGTACAAAACAGACTCTCACTTGAACCACCCACAGGGCGCCATGGTGAAAGATTATCACCTCCAGGGGGAGCAGTGTCCAACCGGATTTTGCAACAGCTAAACATCCTTACTTTGGATCTGACCTCGTCATCTCCTGTCTATCCGGATTTTGCAACAGCTAAACATCCTTGCTTTGGATCTGACCTCGTCATCTCCTGTCTACGGACAGGCAATGCTGGGGTGTGGAATGCCCAAGAAGCTTCCCCACTGTGGTACTCTGATGACCCCCCCCCCCCCCCTGATGGGCTACACCATATGATTGGCATTCTTTATGTGTCATGACTCATAAGCATTCATATCTATGATGATAGTCAACATTGTACTCACCTACAACACCTGCACATGGCATGTCCTATTTGTAGACAGAGGCTGGAACGGCAGTGCACATAGAACCATGGTCGCCGTGGATCTGTGCTCCTAGCATGTGGGAGACCCTTTGCCTCTGATATCTGTCTGTGCTTCTGCATACAAAACAGTCACTGCGACTGCGAGAATTGGCTGCAGTGCTTCCACAGGCCACACCTGAACCCGTCCTGTCTGGTGTACAGGGGTAGCGGTAGCTTCTTACGATAGGCAATGCCCTCTCCTCAGCTCGGTTTTCTCTGCAACCCGACCCCTGACTGCTCCAATTGTGCGAGTCCGTAGCAGTCTGCTCTGCCGGTGAGTGTGGGGGACACAATGAGGGGACACAATGAGAGGACACAATGAGGTTCCTGTCTCCCCTGCCATTCTCCCCTCCATTCTCTTCCTCCTCTTCCCCCCTCCTTCGCTCCCCTTCCTCTCCTTCCTCCCTGTGAATGAGCATCACTAAGAGGATAGACAAAATGGGTGCAGGGGTGCTGAACGACGAACGGGGGGGAACCCTGCCGTTGCAAGGAAATAAGCCATGAGAACAACGATAAACCAGATTGCGACATTGCACAAAAGACCAGACATAATTGAGCCGCATTGAAAGCAGAAATCAAAGCGAGATGCACATCAAATAGGAATGAGCGATGCATCGAAATCTCTTGATCAGGAAAGCGCTTCCACTACCTCCAATCATGACCATAACGATAATGTAGTCTTCCTAATGGCATCCTGAACGCCTATCCTACTTCCTAGATCCTACTCATCTAGCCTGTCTACGCGTCAACGATGGTCCACCCGCCAGTCGCCAGATGCTGCTTGAAGACTCTGGTCAGACAGCCTGCCTTCTTCAACACCAGGTACATGCCTCGTTCTCACCACCTCCCTTCCCTCTTCCTGCCCCAAGGATCACCGCACCTCTACCATCCCGCTATGGCGCGCTCTTCCCAGCTATGGCAGGTGCCCACCTCCTTTCTTCTCGCTGCCACCCGCAGCAGCTTCCTCCACCTGGCGCTGAGTAGCTCTGGCTCTCCAGCACCATGGCCGCCTCAGCCTCAATGCCTGAATGTGTCTGGCTGTGCGGCCAGCCCTCTTTTGTGCTGGCTGGCAAGGCTGGAGAGGCTGCGAGCAGGTGGCACCCTGTCCCAGTAACCCGTCCCCTGTGCCCTTCCGGAAGACTGAGCAATCCCAGCCTCTGTAACCAGCTCGTGGGCTGCACCTACCGGTGGGTCACAGAGGCTGCAGTCTGCATGCTGGTAAGTTGGTAACCACCCGGGGCCCTTTTGTTCACAGCGGCCTTCACTTATGGACCCCCACTTTCCAGCTTTTCGGTCAACATGTCCAAATTAGGGTTCGGGGTTCAAATTTTAGGGCCTTTTCCTGCAAGGCCGAGAGCCTAATTACTCGAAGATATTCACAGTACAACAATGAAATGACCGCTTTATCGAAGCATTCCATGTTAAAAGATTACGATCATTAAAATAATCACATCCACCAAACACGAATATAAGGTAAAGAGATGCATAGCGACGGGATTATTCTGGTCACAGTGTACACTGCACACACTAGTTACTTGCTCTCTCTCTCTCTCTCTCTCTCTCTCTCTCTCTCTCTCTCTC